TTTGTAAGAGGAACAATGTACCATTTCATCTTAAGTTCCACAATGTCACTTTAAAATTGTTTAATGACAACACTTGGTTCATGTCTCCCTTATGTTAGACCTTTTTATCAAATCAGACATATTAGCCTCTGTAGAACATAAAATGCTCATCTATATGGTGGCAGCAAGTGAAGAGGGACAAAATCAGGCAGCATGAGGAACTTAAATGAACTCCTAATATAAAGTAGTTAAAAGCTTTCTTCTGACCACCTAGGACATGTTGAGTCTGGTATGTAATAGAACCTCAGCCAATGTATACTTAATCTCAGTGGCCATCAATAGATATAAATTGTCACATCAAATCTGGCCTTAAGTTTGTTCTAAATGTGAAGTTATGGTGGGGTGAAACATGCCCACAACAAATCTGAACAAATGATTCAGATTTCCAGACTGCGCCCCCCAGCAGCAGCAGTTATTACATGAGGTCACATTGATTTACTACACGTCCTCTGTTGTCCAAAATGGTAGAGGTTCCTATTCAAATCCAGAAATTATTAAAGCAACTAGCAATATAGAAACATGTTTCAAGACTTCACAAAAGCTTTTTTAAATTAATCCTGGGATGACTCACAAAAAGTAGACAAACACAAACTGAATTGTCAAATTTGCCAAAGTTTATTGGGAGCCTTCATACAAAAAATGAAATTATGGCTGTAAAAAGTTACAAAGGATTATTGTTGACATTGATATACTTTTGGCATTTAAGGCCTATTAACCCAACACGTTTCTGTAACTCTTTGCAATTTACTTTAAATCTAAAACTGTTGATTTAAACAAGCAGATAAGACAGTAATATTTAAAAACATACAGACCAATAGATACCTGCAGATTACTTCTCAGTGGTAGTTTACAACACAAAACCACAAAAAATCTGAAAAGCAACTCAAAAAAAAAAAAAAAGAGAACTGCCTAATTTTCAATGTGAACACATGAACTTGAGGCAACTTTTATTACACACAGCCAACTAATTTCAATGCGTCTGTCTCAATGACATTTCCATGAATGCAAACAAATGTATTTACACTGACTTTCATAAGCATGTCTCAGACTATCGACGTTGCGGCATTAGAAGCTGCTTTGCTGTTACTGAATCGGGGAAAAGGTTGTGGTAGGTTGGTAAGGGAACGTAGGCAGCAGTTATCATCTTGCCTGGAAGGGAGGAATGGGGAAAAAAAAAGAAAATTAACACCCCTTTGTTGTTATATTGGATATTCAAAACCAAATGGCAACATTACATACCTGCAAACCAGCGTCCATGAAGTGCATTTACAGTTGCCATCGCTGCTGGTATTGAGGGACACTTCACGTACACATTACCCTGTGGGAAAAATAAACAATGTCACTCAGGTTCCAGTTTTCTTATCCATTTTCTAGCTCAGTGAAGTCTTTGGGGTGGCTGGAACAATATTTTCCCTTTGATGAACTAGAGATAAGTGCAATTTGTTTTTGTATTTAAGCTCTTGAATATCTGTAAACATCAACTTACTTGAGCAGAGTTCTTATCAACATAAATGTGAACAATTCCTCCATGTTTGTTGCACTCCTCAATAACATCATCTTGGATCTCGATGGCCCAGCTGGGATCGTTTTCTCTGAAAAACATGTTTGGTAATGTTTAAAATCAAGGGGCTTCAAAAGCTGAGAGATAATATTCCTGAAACGAGAGAAATTTAAAAAATGGGTTCACATATTTTGAAGTCTTCCTTAAAAGATAATACTGACTTGCCCACATGTATATTGAAAGCTGGTTGCTGTAACTTGTTCCGAGTCTCTAAAGGCTTCGCTCAATACAGACCGAGTACTTTCTTCTGTTTTCGTTGCTAAAACTAGGTGGAAGAGTTTTAAAAATACCTGCATTGCAGAACCAATACTAGTCTTTAGGGCAGTTACGTGTGTGTGTTCTTGTAAACTGTTGTAACAACCTGAAAACATAATGCCTCAGGCCGTGGCATCGAAAAACTACTTCAATGTACATATGGGCATGTAACTATTGTCTTAAGAAAAGCTTGAAAAAATGTGAACCTATCCAAATGATGATGTCCTTACGCTTGTGGGTTGAACAGGTTGGACAGCTGAAGGCAGTGTGTGGCCAGCGGCTGTGATGGGAGGTTCAAGGCTTGACTCGGAGCAGGAGTTGGAACAGCTGAAACAAGAGAATAATGACGTGTCACGGCAATAACTAAAACACTCACAAACAACGCGTTTCTCATCATCTAGACCCTCACCTGCTGGAGCAGCGATGTTTCCAAAGGGTATGGAGCCGGTCATCTGCAGAGCCTGCTGAGCAGCAGGAGGAATCTTCAGACCAGTTCCTGTGGAGAGAGACAGGCTTCATTTAAAAAACTAACAATTGCGTCGCGATGCTGACAGAGATTGTGACATTTAGATGAAATCAATAGCAAGTTCCTTTCTGTGGCACAGCAGTCAAAACATTTGAAAAATAAATATTCAAAGCTGTTATTTACATGCTGTGTCTCGTTTACAATTCAGAGAAAATCAGGGTTGGGTTTCGGATCAAATCTTTTCCGACACCTAGTAAGAAGGAAAAGTAGGAAACTAGGAAAAGTTAAGACACCTTTAGCCATAAAGATGTAGCGCTGCAACAAATGATTATTTTCATTATTGATTAATGTGCTGATTATTTTCCAACAGCCTGAGATGTCTACAGATATCTTGTATTTTCTGACCAAAAATTCCAAACCCAAAAGATAATCATTTACTATGATATGAAGACAAATAGCCACTGAAATGAGTTGTTGAGTGTCAACAACTCACTTCATTGGTAGAGCGGTTGTATTTACAGCCACGTGAACTATTGTAATCTTTTTCTTTTAATTAGAAATTGGATCCGTCAATGTGATTCACGCAGAGCCACAAACACGACATCAGGTTAGAACGAACCTTCTGCTAGTCGAGCCATGAGCTGTAGGCGCCCTGTGGTGCCGAGGTCAATGCCAGTTCTCTCTAGTTCGTCGTTGTCCAGGAACGAGCTGGCTGTCGATGAGTCCGAGCGCTCTGTAACATGCCCCACCTTCATCGGACGTCCGGCCAGCTCAAAGCCATTCAGCTGCTCCAAGGCCTTTTTTGCACATTCTGCATCTGCAAACTTTAAAGCAAAACCGGAGCGAAGTTAGAGTCATACTAGCTGCAAACATTAATGCACCGTCGGCGATGTAAAGAAGCATTTATTACCGATATAAAGCCATATCCTTTGGACCGTCCAGTCTCGCTGTCCATCATCAGCTGGATTCCCTCAATCTTTGGAAACAAAACACACCATTACAAAAGACTGTAATGAATAAATCTACAAGACTAGTAAAAAAATAATTACTCTTGAAACTTGTTCCTGACCTTTCCAAAGGGCTCAAAGATCCCTCGAAGCATTTCTTCAGTAATGTTGAAGTGCAGCGATCCTACGTACAGCCTCATTGGACCTGAACTGCCTTTCTGTAGGTTATTGGCAGCAGCTGCCGCTCTGTTCTTCTCTGCCTGTAATTACATTAATGGAATTATGTCAATTCAGTACATCAATCTGTAAATGCCTAATTTGTGCAAACCCAATGTAATCTGATTTAATTCTATGGCATTTATAAAAAATGTTAAGCTCTAGCTACATTCCTAACATGGTTTTGCACAATATTCACAAACATTTCATGACAAAAATTAATGTGTCGACAACTAGACTGCTCGTTAGGAGGAAATCCAGTTGTCCATATTTAGATTAAGTTACCATAACCTGAGAGGCCTGGACAATGATGGGCACTCCTAAAAGCCTCTGGCCGGTCAATCCAATTGCCAGTGGTACAGATGAAGCCTCCACAAACTCGATGTACGCAATGCCCTTCGACCTCCTGGAGTTTCTGTCCGAAATCATTCTCACGTCTCTTACCTACAGAGGGAAACAGGGATCGTTTAAGATATCATTTCCACTTACAGGCTTGCTAAATTCTACGTGACAATATCGTGAACATCGACTCACTTTTCCGACAGCTGAGAAGAAATCTTCCAAGTCTCGAGCTCTGATTCTCGCAGCGAGCTGCATGCAAAAAACTGTGCGGGCGTCCCTCTCCTCTGGTGTTAGATTGTCAATTGGTTGCCTGGAAAAAAGCAAAACCATCCAACAAGAAATAAATATTACATGGTTTGGTTTAACAATTCTAGAGGCATTTTAAATAGTACAATTTCCTCTTACAATTCTTGAATAAAATCACATTAAAGCTCTGTAAAAACCTTAAATTCACTGGATTTGAGGGCGCTTTAAAACAAAATCAAGCCTAAAGGGGTTTAATGTGAATATTCATCTCACCTGATGGGACTCTTTTCTTTTTTGAAGGGGCTCCGACTTTTGGAACGT